GAGTTTTATGCAGTAAGAGTAAAGTAGAAAGGAAACTTTTTTTACTAGTCGGTCGCGATTAAATGAACTTGCTAATGTTTGATAAATGCAAGGCGTGCATTTTATTCTGCGTAGTAGATTAAGCGGAAGAAGTATCGAGAAACGATAATAATATTGGTTAAAACTTAAAAACGGCTGAACTGACTTGGGACAATTTTTGTCTCGAAATATACGTGGAAGCTCAGGAACTCGGCTAACTTAGACGATGAGAACTTAGGGGAAAATTACGAGTAAAACGCTTAATAGGTACGACAATTTTCTTTTGTGAAATTGTTCCTACAAGTGAAATTACATATATTTTATGGAACAAAACTGTCATTATTGTCATCATTTATAGCCATAAGGAGTTCGCCGGCCAGCTAGTATTTTATATAAATAAGACTTCTAAGACACGTTGACTGAATGAGTCTTTTGAAATTATTTTATATGGCTTAATCGTTCATCATCGATAACGTAGTATTTATATTAAATATAGAACAATTTTATACAAGTTTTTTGCTAATTTGTGGCCAATAATGACCAGTGGCACTATAAAAACAGCAAGTGTGGTCAATGATGCGTCTAGTGTGGCGTTTGTGGGTTGATTATTTATGAAAATTAAAATGGCCGCGCATAGGTTATGGATGTTGTAGCTTTTGTCATTTTGTAACAGGACATTTATCTCTTGAGATTGTTTTTTTATAATTCGTAATAAATAATGTTAATATTTTTAAATTATTGTTTTGTATTAGTTTTAAGGAGATGTACTTACCTAATGATATATTAAAAAAGTAACAGTTATTTTATTTTGTGGGCAGACAGGTTATGTGATGGTAAACAATCAGCGCCGCCCAACAACAAAGGAGTTACGTGTGCGTTGCCGACCTTTTGGAGATTTGGAGATTGGGGAGATGAATAGTATTGGGCCTCCGGTAACCTAACGTACTTGGTAAAACACAACGCTGTGGTGGTTTCACGCCGGTTTGCTGTGAGGCTGTGAAATTACTCCGGTTGAGCGGACCTATTCGTGCCGAAGCATGGCTCTCCCATACCTCAAAAAAACTTGGATAAATGGCAGTTGTTGATAAGCTATAAGCGTTATCCAGACATATTAAGAAAAATCAATTGATTAACTTATGACATTATATCTCATAAGTTTCACATCAATTTATGTCACTTATATCCTAATAAAGTAGGTACCGGTATTCTAGGTTTAGGTCGAATCAAATTCATCCTCATTAGGCCAGCACACACTGAACAGGTTCGTTACAACGAGTGTGCCTCACGTGTACTCCCACCCTTACATCTAATTGCTCTACAGATTTGAAACGGAAATATTTCCATCGAAAATGCACCTAATTAACATTAGCAATTAATTATTTGAAATGTTCAATGTTCATACATAGTTTAGTGCTAAATCGTTCGTATTGACCCATGTTGTAATGAAATTTAAGTGTTTAAATGGTACGAATTTATCAGAGGACAAAATGAAATGAAATTGAAATGGCTATAGAAATATTAAATACTTTTCTATGTAATAGGCCGGCAAACGAGCGGATGGTTTACCTGATGGTAAGCAGTCAGCGCCGCCCATGGACCGCAACGGAGAAGTTACGAGTGCGTTGCCGACCTTTAAGGGATTAGGGTTTTGGAGATTTACGGATTGGGGAGAGATCGGGAGAGGGGAAGCATTGGGCCTCCGGTAACCTCACTAACACGGCGAAACGCAACGATGTGGTTGTTTCACGCCGGTTTTCTGTAAGGCTGTAATACTACTGTAAATAACTACTAAAGGAATAATGAATATTTATGCATGTTATGTACTAGTAGAAGAAGTAAAAAACTAGGAATAAGAAGGAATTTATATGAATATTTTTAAGTTAAAGGATATGTTTGATTTTCGGAACTACTGTTTCGACAGGACGGATTAGTTTTATGTTGTATTCCATTTATCGAGGAAGGTTTGAGCTATATAATGTTATGGTGCGACTAATAGAAGCCGAACTACCTGTGATGTGATACCATAGGCTAGTAGCTAGTATTAAATACATGATGAAATTACCGGTTTAAAATTGTAAGCAGAAAAGGAATAACGAGACCCCTACGTCGTCTTAGGATAGGTAAAATATTTTTATCTCTAAACCATCTTAATTGAGGTCCATATAGTTAAAAAAAACAGATGTAGACGAAATGTATGTTTAATATGTACCTGTGTATAATATACAAAATTACTAAATATAATTAATACCTATTTTAAATTAGTTAATTCTTAAGCAGACAAATATCGGTTCCTATTCACAGTAACGTTACTTTTTAAAATAGAACTTATTAAAGAATTTGAAAGAATCACCAATCATGATACATTCATTCATTCATTCTTCGAAAATGTACACACAAGTAGTTTCTATAAAATGATACTTGATTTTTTTGGAAGAATTAAAACCTACGCGATTTTAATCCTATTGAAAAAAGATGAATATTTGATTTGTTTGGTTATAACTGCTTTTTTGGTGATACTTATTTGAGTTAACGGGATAGGCTCACAAAAAGTTTTCTAGAATAAGGTTTGTTTTTGTTACAAATGGAAGATAAGTCGTTTTTTGAAGAGGGTGAAGAATCATCTATATACTTGTCTCGTTCAGGGTGGGGCGAGAGAGAGAGAGTCTCTCTGTGGAGACTTGCACTTACCAAAAACTGTCCCATTCCTATTCTAGGTCTAGGTCGAGCTGTGGGACATCGTTGCACTAAACTTGCATGCAGGTTAGATATCTGCCCTTGTGGGCCGTCGGTAGTCAAATAGCTCTTTGAGACCGCGAGGCTACGAGCAATAAGAGAAATTCGGCGCGCCGTACTCTCAAAACTGATAAAAGACTTTTTTGTGAGAGGAAAATCATCAATGATCATGAGTTCATCGCCGATGAGGCGAGAAGGAGGTCCATAATTTGCCCCTTTGTGACGCGCGCGGAATACTATGCCTACGACGTACCTATTAGGGGTCGACACAGTATAGTCACTATTGGCCAAAGATCTAAGTAACCACTATTAGCTCGTTCATTGCTGGACAATAATATGTTTACATCATACATTTAAAAAAGTACATCTATTGCAGAAATAGGTGATGTCTCGTTTCTTCCAAATGTGTAATCCTTTTACAAGAAAAATTGAGTATCGATATCAATCCAAATATTGTGGATCATTTTCAGTTTTTTTACAGAAACTCCACATATATGTATCTAGAGTCAAAAAGCGACCTTCACCCAGAGATTTTGGGTTGTAATCGGTTATTATTTAGACAGCTCGTAAGACGCTCTTAGATGGAGTAGAGACGGCAGTGATACATTTATGGTGCTTTGTCGTCACAACAAGGTGAACAAACAATATTAAATAAACTATCAGTTTTTTGTTTTAATTTAATATGTTTAACGACTTGTTCACATAACTGTTTGACAAGGAACTAAATTGCTTTCGGGCCATGCTAAAGTTAGACGACGTGAATATTACTCATAAATATAAGCCCCTAGCGTGGCTTGAAACTTGTCGAGCTCCCTGTGAAACAGTATGCAGTATGCGTAACAGTACGTGAGCTATTAAAAAAGTAATAAATATCATAGACGCAATAATTTATTTTATACAATATTCCTAATTTTAAACTAATTGGTGATTTTAAAAATAATATTGAATATAGAATATACAATATAACATAAGTACTTTGGCCTCTTTGCTGCATAATTAATCCGAGGGGATTATATTACTTCAGTCAATAAATTCGTTAATAAGTCGGCTCCCGGGGAAATACATGCAAGTAGCTTTAATTTAATAATGCAATTTATGACATGATAAACTAATACATTTTACTATAACGGGTTATTAATCGGTATTTCCCAAAATAATGAATTTAAATTAATTGTAAATAATTATATTATTGGCTTAAATAGCGTTCTTTTAGGTCTGTAACTGAGAATTTCAGTTGATTATTATACCTCATATTTTTAGTATGAAATTTTATTTATAGTTTTTGTATTCTAATTTTATTGTTGAAAACTTTATAATAATTATCAATTTTATCTTAACAAACTGCTAATTTATTCATTTATATGACAATTTTCAAAGTCAATAATGTCAATAGAATACGAAGCCACGACTCGAAATGTCAAAACTGTTTTACCAAATTATTTCATTGTGTCCTATTAATAACTTTTTAAACGTAATTAAAATAAAAAAGTCTTTCGTGTCACAAATTATACTTTGTAACATTATTATGATACTTCACCGTAACAAGTCATTACGAACATAGGTTTAATTTGTATTTAATTATGTCATTAAAATTCCAATACTATTTTGCATATTAAAAAACACAGTAAAAATTATTATTCACCGTCTGAATATCTAATGACATTTATAATTATTATGTATTGAATTAGTAACGTGTCGATTTATATGTTATTGAGTTTTTAGATTAAATTAAATTAATCTTACGTTCGAACTTTCTCTAACATCCGCGTTGATGTCTTTTACTTGAACACGAAATATTAGCGACGATAGTACATTTCTTTGATCCATTATAATAGTATATAAATAGTAGATAAAGTATTATTAAAAATAATGTTATATTATATTCCACAATTTGATTTACGAATATCTCTGAAAATAAAATCTTAAAATAATTTTACTTCAAAAGCTATTTTCAAAATAATCTTAATCCTCCAAATATAGACAGATAATGGTTTCTCAGTAACCGTAACAAATATTCGAGATAAACAACTTTTGACCTTAGCACCGACCGGATGGAGCTTAGCTTCTTCAACGACTTATTCATTCACGTAGGCTTTACTATAAATATTAACCTGTCATGTTATTAAGGTCACTATTAGAAAAACATAGATAAAGTGAGTTTCGATGGTACTGATTGGAAAAACCGTTCACTTTAGGTAGTAATAAAGTATTATGTATTAATTGTATGAAGAGTTTAGGTAATACGTTACCTAGATCAGGGTACTCGGCTAGAGTCTCATCAACGATGGACTGCAGCCACCAAGGTTCCAGCTCAGCCATCTCACGCCGCCGACGGCCTCGGGACTCGTACGGTAAATGCATCCTTCACACCATCACACTTCACTTGCCGTGCCGCCACGGTCGGCGTCCCCTATCTGTCTTACTGACGCAGCAATCGACACCAAACAAAACGATATAATAAAATTCTAATTTTGGCAAGTAAGGGCTCGTTTGGACACTCGAATTCCAACACTTCCGCACTCTTCACGACCTTCGCTTGACTGAGCACTGGCAGGCTGCCAAAGTTTTATTCAACACCTTGTACACAACAACAATACTGTATTCGAGTACCTCGCCCAACTGTATGAACACACTCGCACGTGAGTCGCCAGTGAGTACTAGTTTGTTAGCGACTACCCGATAACTTACTATGATTAGAAAATCTTTGGATCCTAATACTTTGTCAGTCTCTTCGTAGCGTTTAGAGTCTATATCATTACAACTAACATAAAACTTGTAAACAAACGTGTCCGATATTTCACTCACAAATTGTCCGTGTATGTCGCACTACAGTTGTAACGTATTTAAGTTTTATTTCCTCAATCCAGCGACGCTCATTCTATAAACCGAGGGATTTCTTGAATTTAACTTTCCTCATTTTAGATGAGTCACAGCACTAGTCCGGGGCTCACTGGGAACTATTTGACACATGAACGGGTCCGGTAAAGTTCTGAGAACACCTGTAACTCACTATCGCGCTCCGTGTTGTGTCAACATCAGCTGAGAGCTTAATATATTATATTTAAATATTATGATAATGAGCGCCTGGGCCGGTTGTGGAGCGCTCGGTTTTTTATAAAGTTGTGAGCCACGTCTGTCGCGCGTCAGGTATCGTCGCGTGGTGCGTGAGTCAGCCGCTCGCGGAGGCTGGCGCGTGTTCGCTGCCCGCGCGACTCTCTACTACTGAACCGCCGCCATTCTGTCACTCGCTGCCTCCATTCTCTGCGGTCAATCTGCGGTTTAGCCACGCTTCATTTGTCGGGAAAATGTGCGCTGTTCTTCTCCCTCTCGCACTAATATCTTGTTTGATATGTGCGAGTGAGACCGGCGCAAGTTTTGTACCATTAACCATTTTTGTTTAGTTCCATTGTTGAAAGGGAAATATTATGAGCTTTTTCATTTTAAAGCGTGGTTGCGTATCTCCCTCTCTCGGTCCGCTAGCTGTGGTTACAACGAAGAGAGATGTCTATAAGAATAAATGACATCCTATTTTTTTGTTCATATAAAAACATATTCATAAAATATCAGGAAACCAGGATAACATGAACGCAATGTGAAATTAGACTACATGGCAACAATCACATTAGAAGGTTACCGCTCCAAATTAATGGAACTAATGAGGTTTGATGGCTGCCAAATTGTATGTAACTTGACACGTTTGTACTAATAAACTATATACTCATTAACATATTGGCTTAATTTGTTGGTTCACTGCATTTTGATGAGTTTCGTGTTTCATGTGTGGGTGTGTATTTTTCAGTGTGTTTTGGTCTTGAGATAGTGCGGTGGGCGTGTGCGCGGCTGGGCGTGGCGGCCCCGCCTACTGTCGCGAAGACGGAGTTCGCGACCGGAAAAATCGTAAACCGCGCCGCGCCGCCGCCTCGTGGTCGTGTAGCCGCCGTATCGCGCGTCGGGATTCAGCGCACTTGTTGCGCCGACTTGAATAGTGTGCGCGCGCCCTTATGCCCTGGGAACTACTTACAAACAATTTTCTAGTGTCTTGCGTAGCTGCTTTGATTTTAAATTTGTGAACCAATAAAGAATATTTATATTACGTGCGCTTAGCATAAAATATAAATGTCAATACAATCCAAATCAGGAAAACCGAATATAAATAAAACAACTGTATTAGTAATATCTTTTTGTAGTTACAAAACATACAATCACTTCTTTACTACCTAATATTATAAACTTATTAGAGTAGAAATATACTTATCTACTTATAAATACTTAATCCAAAGTTATTTTGTTTATATTTTATTATTCGCTAATCCGGCCTTTGATCCCAAACACATGACCAACCTTGAGTTCCACAGATTTGATCAAAATGAAGATTCAAAGAAGGATTCAAAGTTCAAAGATCTTATATTAAACTAGCCCTTGTGTTATTTATTTTCTTCCATTTCATTGTTTAATTATATTCCAATTCTAATATTTTTAATATAATTCTAATAATGTTATTGTAACAGATAGTTTTGTTCTTACACTACTAGGTTATCACTTTATTTTTAAGAATGCTGGTTACCTGTAATTGGCGACTGTATAAGGCCAAAACCTAATGTTATTATTGTTTTATTTATTTGCTATATACAGAAGCTGTTGGTGTACCTTTTTTAAATAAATAAAATAAACAAATAAATAAATAATCATAGGTATCACCTACATATCTACATACCAAACTTCAACCAAATCAGTGAAGCCGTTTTTGAGTGAAAGAATGACAAACACATATCCATAATATTCATATTTATAATATTAGTAGATCAAATGTATGTATGTCAAACACAGCACTGTAAAATATCAGATACCTACTAGTAGATAGATATATAACTATAAATAGATATCAAATTAAGATTAATTTTAATGTCGATCCATTTTGATTTAATGTAAAAACAAGTTTAAGTGGTTATATTAAAAAACACAACAACATAAATACATTAGGAATTTCCCTGAAATTTAAATTAGTGATTTTAGGTGTAAGCGTCAATCATATTTTAAATGTTTATATGTGTGTGTTTGGCAAATTTATTTAAACGATATAAATTATCATTTGTTTTTGAATTACTTTTATTTTTGTCAACGTGCCCATAATCCCAATAGTTTAAAATAGGCTATGGATATGTATTTATTTTTGTTTTTTTTTTAAATTAACAGATTAAAATAGGAAGAGTCCTAGACTCTCTGACTGACTAAAAGCGAGCCGAAGCCGCGGTACATAACGGCATCGGGGTTGCGCTTTTAATAATTTTCGCTCTAAATCTCATGTTTTAATAATCCATTATCAAAGACCACCTACAAAATGTACGAGAACTCACATTTCTTGATTAATTCTTTGTGAATTCTATAAATACTGTCATAGCATTAACAATCCTGTTATTTAATAAGTGATCGGCAGTAACGTTAAGTCTTCGTGGATTCTATAAATACCGTCATAGTATTTTATATTATTAACAATCCTGTTAGTTAATAAGTGATCGGCAGTAACGTTAGTGACTGATTTCGTTCTATATCACAGTTTCCTCATACAATTCTTCCTGCACGGTAACATAAGTTTAAAATTAATTTATCAGTTCGACAAACTGTTTAATTAGGTTATTAAATGGTAACGGTACATTTGAGTAACCTTTGATAATAGAATGCGATAACCAATTGGTAGTTATTTTTTTTATGTAATAAGTCTGCAAACGAGCAGACGGATTACCTGATGGTAAGCAATCAGCGCTGCCCATGGACACCCTCTACGGAGGAGTCACGAGTGCGTAGCCGACCTTTTAGGGATTAGGGATTTGGAGATTTAGGGATTGGGGAAGGGTCCGGGGAGGGGAAGGATTGGGCCTCCGGTAACCTCACTCACACGGCGAAACTCAACAAATTATTCTAGTGATATCCTATGAATTTGCCTTCTTCCTTCGCGCCCACTATCGAATTCGAGTTGTCCCTTTTACCGCTTCTTTTGAAGGGTCACAGCCAGTAAGAACATGATTTGAATTCATTTTCCTTGTTTTATACTGCTTAAATGCATTATAAATTAATACTACTACAGTACTTACTTATTGCGTTTAACTAAACCTACCTTAGCTAAGTAACTATAGCTATTTTAATTTCCTGAATTGTAAGTTGGTAAATCTTACCAAAAAATCTTTTGTATCTTTCTTCCGCCATTACGATTTTAAAGATAGAATGGCGATCCCGGGCATACTGGGCATAGCGTTTCGCGCGCGTCTCTAAGGGCCAACAGTCCACCACAGACCAATGAAACAATGAAATAATGAATTTATTTTTGCAAATAGGCCATAAAGCGGCACTTTTATACGTCAATTTATATGTGAAAAACTAGATGGAGCCGGCATTTCCTATCTGACTACTCTGAGAAGAAATGCTGCAACAGACTCAGAGGTCAGTCTCTTTAGACCGACAGGGCTGATTTTCGATAGCGGGTATAATCCAATAATGTAACGGGAGATTCTTAGGCAGTAAAAGTTTAATACTAGTGGATAGTAACTAGACATAATAAATCCAGGTTTTCTCACGATGTTTTCCTTCACAGGACTATGAAGCTGTATCTAAAAAGGTAATCTAAGAAAATACATATAAGTAACTTGTAAAGGTCACATGGGTACTTGCCAGGTGTACACTCGACAATAAAAGAAATTACTTACCTTGTAACATCTTCAACAGTTTCTTAGTTAACTGTGATCATAGTGGTTAGTAAAATGACTAATTAACACGTCGCCGAGACACAAAGGGACCACGTGACGTAACAACATGATGTCCACGTCATCCGCAACCCGATAACCGCAACGTTTTCGATTTTTGTAGCGGTAAGGAAGCAACCGCATCACCAGTGAACAACCCACAACGATAATTGTACACTAATTATTAAAATTGTAAACTTTGGTGGTTGGTTTCATAGTATGTCCTTTGTTTAGTAAGTACTAGCTTTTGCCCGCGACTTTGTTCGCGTGGAATAGTGACTTCCTGCAGATTTTTGGTATAAAAACTATCCTATGTCCTTTCTGGAGTTCCAAACTATATCTGTACCAAATATAACAGAAATCGGTTCAGTAGTTTAGGCGTGAAGAAAGGGCCGGCAGAAAGGCAGAGTTACTTTCGCATTTATAATATTAGTTTGGATTGTATTCAAGGAAAAATGATTCGTTTTTGAAAAGAGCTAGATTTTAATATACTGTGGTAAGTATGCATTAACAGCCGTGTTTTTTTATGGGATAGGTCGGTAAACCAACAGCCGGATGACAGATTACCTGATGGTAAGCAATCGGCGCTGCCAATAGACACCCGCAACACGAAAGGAGTTACGAGTGCGTTGCTGCCCTTTTGGGGATTAAGATTTCGGATACTTAAGGATTGGTTAGGAGTAGGTGGGGGGGGGAGGGGAAGGGATTGGCCCTGCAGTTTTCTGTGGGGCCGTGGTATCACTCCGGTCGAGCCAACGCATTTGTGCCGAAGCATGGCTCTCCCACACCACTTCTTTATATCTGTAAGAAGATGTATGAAAATTTATTTATTTATTGAGGTTAGCCAACAATTGTTTACACTTTACTTTGACAATTAGCAAACAATATTTATATTAACAAGTGTTACAATTACTTATAGGCTAACACACACATTCAAATTATTACAAGAAAAAAAACTTTTACAACAAATAACAAAATTATTAGGAAAGCAATAAATCACAAAATTCTAAAATTGTTCTAGCTTCGTACCTATATGAATTGAAAGTAACAATATTCAAAAGTGTTTGCAAAATGTCGCCACGTACTTGACCTACAATCCTGTAACATTTGTGAAGAGTCGGGGGTCTGCGGCATCAAAGAGTGGTGACCGCACCAGTAACGGTGCCACCGCGAAACAATTTACGGTTTCCCTTACGATTGGTGGTTTTTATCGACCTTCGATTATTGATTGGCTTATTACGATTGGCGTTTTGCTGATTACGATTAAGGGCTTGATTTTTAATTCAAATTAACCCATAATCCTTCCGCTTCTCTTAATCGAGCCGAGCTGGGCTCGGTCATGGATCTTGAAATTTAAGTTTTATTCGGTTGAATAAAATTGTCTTTTTAAATTAACATTATTAGGAAGTATACATTTATAAAGTCAGTGATAGTTTATTTTTATATAACACTAGCTAGCTACTTTCGCGCGGTTTCACCCGCTGCTCGGCTCCATTTAATCTTAGCGTGATGTTTTATAGCATATAGCACTCAGGAACATTGTAGCTGTCTATCAGTGAAAGAATTTTGGAAATCCGACCAGAAATTCCGAACATTACTCCCTACATACAAACTTACAAACATACAAACTTACAAATTTTACCTCTTTATAATATTAGTATAGATAAAATAATCATTTGTAATGTTCAACGTTTGATTTTCCTCTGATATTTATGTTGGAAGTAGTATAATTGGATCTTGAGAGAGAGTAAACGGCAAGCAAACGGCGTTTCTGTATTTGTCTGCATCTTCAATCTTTGAATTAAAGTCAAAGTCAAAATCATTTATTCATCATCATCAGCCTCTAAGTGCCCACTGCTGAGCAAAGGCCTCTTCTCATACGAAGAAGGTTTGAGCATTAATCACCACGCTTGCTCAATGCGGGTTGGCGATTTCAAACTTACAATTAGAAATTATAAGTCCAGGTTTCCTCACGATGTTTACCTTCACCGTATGTCAGTGGTGTCTAAATAATCATAGAAAGTACATATAACTCGGCAAAAGTCACATTGGTACTTGCCAGGTTTCGAACCCACACCCTCATGCAGGAAAATAATCGCACATATGCGAATAATTACTACTATACTTGTATATCCGGCTCTTGACTTACAAAGGGTTGTAGCGTTCCAAAACTTGTGAAGTACTGCGGGTTTGCGGTAACAAAGAGTGGAGACCGCAGCGGTCGGTACTGGGCCGCGAATCAATTAGCTGCTTGCACGGCTGCGGTACCGATGCCGGATCCCAAATATCATTGAGATCTCT